CTGGGACGCTACTCAAGATGGCACAAACAAATCAACTTCCGGTGATACCGAGACCGAGGAGCGAGGAAATGAAAAAATAAGAGAAGTGAAACGCACCCTGAGTCTACAGGAAAAACTAATTTATTTTACACTGGCTTGGATCACTGGCTTCATGGAACGAGACAAACTGGCACATGACAAGGGGAGACAGGACAATTTATACATGAGGTAAGTAGGCAGTGGCACAGGTGGAAACAATCAGGGGCAGGGCAGATGCTGACGATGGCGGGAAAACAAACAGAGGCAGGAAGTAAAGGGACCTGGAATGAGACAAGGTGAGTACAAAATAAAACAGGAAGTGAAAGAACATAAATAGCTAAACTAACATGAAACATGAACATGATAATCACAAACATGACTTGACTAACACATTTGACGAGACACAACAAAAAGGAGAAATTCACTATCTTCCCCCTCTCATGATGGGCGCATCATGAAGAGTCAGACTTTTTAAAGAATAGTTTATTCAACTTGGAAAATAGTTGCAGCCATCGTGGATAAAGTAGTGTCAATGAAAGTTTACTAATTTATAGCTTTTTACAACTTTGAAATGATGGTCTTCACAGAAAAAACTGAAGCGTTGACTTTAATTAAATGTATTATGTCAACAGTATTACGTTTGAATAAACAATATTAAGTTCAACTAACATAATACAGTTATGTGGAATGTGTTGACATAATACATTTAATTAGAGTCAACGTTTCAGCCTTTCAGTGTTTGATAAAACAATGGGAAAGGGTAACATCCCATGAAGGCATTTTTTTCAGCGAGGACTTGGCTGTGAAATCAGGGCATACCTCAAACCGGACCTTTTGTTAGAGCTTTCTGATGATCAGATGCCTAAGTAAGCATCTATCTTATACGTTTATTAAAGATAGGCAGGGGGGGCTGAGTTATTAAGGACTCAATCTTTTTCTGGCAGAGAAGCAGGGAAAAACCCTGAATGTCTATCAGCCAACTTCAAAGAGCCAGTCAGTAATCTGAAACGGGAACCAGAACGATGGCAAACAAGACGCCTGGCTGTTATTTGTGGGTTTGGCCCACAAGCTGCGTGTGAAACCTGTCACTGAGGATGAACCCGCAGATGGTCACTGCCCAGTTACACACTCTCCTTAGTCAAACCTTCACATTACTGGACGGTCCATTTTGGGTTTGGGGATGTGGTCATAAAAACTTGGATGACCTTAAACTTTTTGATGTTAAACACAGACAAAACTGAAGTTATTGTACCCCAAGCATCTCTGAAACAAACTATCTAAAGATAAACTCACTCTGTATTGCATTAACTTGGCCTCCGGCGAAACCGTAAGGAATCTTGGAGTTATATCAGGATTTGTCCTTTAACGCCCACATAAGAGGACCGAGACCTATAACTCTTTATTATCAGGCTGTAACAAAAGGTCTCTTAAGTCGCTTCAGCTGATTCAAAATGCTGCAGCACGTGTGTTGACAAGAACAAGGAGAAGGGACCATATTACTCCTGTATTGGCTGCTCTGCCCTGGCTCGCTAATACAGGATAACATTTCAAATCCTTCTTATTACCTACACAGACCTTAAGGGGCAGGCACCATCCTACTGCCCCACTAGGGCATTGTGTTCCAAGAATGCAGGTTTTTTGGTTTTTCCTAGAGTCTCTAAAAGTACAATGGGACCCAGAGCCTTCTGCTATCAAGCTCCTCTTCTGTGGAGTACTCTACGGGTCCCTAGCACATAGAAACTGCTGGATGCTAACTAGTGGGGACCCCTACTATACATTTCTATCATAAAACGTTGGGGTACTCAACATTTCCGGCTTCACACTGCTGGCAACGATATTTAGGGCTGCCTAGGATCAGCCCTATTCTGCTGCTATAGACTTAGACTGTCGGGGGACACCTTACTTCTTTCTTCTCTTTCTCTGTACCTCTCATGTCCCAAATATGTAAGCTACTAACCCAGCTTCCCAGGAGTTTTTTTTTTTGTCTGTCACCCGGCAGGTTGTCAGCATTAAAGGATATGCCGTATTCGTATTTGATATTCTGCACGAACTGTTAAGCCTGTGAGACAAATGAAGAATTTGTAACATTGGGCTATATAGATACACTTTGATTGATTGATTGATTGATGTGGTCTATTAAGCAGGAGCAGGTAGTAGTCCCTGCTTAGATAATTGTTTGGTTTTATAACAATACCACTGAATTGGCAAAGCTCTATGGTGATGTTGTATGGACTGGATTGACAACAAATCTGATCAGAATGAATGCAACAGGGCCAGAGAAACCAACCTTTGTTATTCCATTGATCATTTCCTCCTAGACTTAACGTGACTCATAGAATACCCACAATCAGGCTTGGCAAGTAACAGATTGTATTCTACGGAGCCCCCTAGGGGACATGGAGAAGAAAAAAAAAATATTAAAAAAAAAAAAATGTTTTGCGAGATCTCGCAAAACTTTTCATTTAGCTCAATGTACTTCCTGGTCAGTTCGGCTGCTACGGCAACACAGAAACCACAACAATGGAGCGGTTCATCGATTTTACTTTGAGCTTGGCCTTAAATATAAAGATATAACATCAGTGCTTGGTAATAGGCACGGGTTTCACATAAGTGAAAGACACCTCAAGAGAACACTCAGAGTGAGGGGACATGCACGTCGCAAAGCATACTCTGAGCTGAGTTATTGACAGATTCGAATTTTGCGGATCAATAACTCATGAACATAACATTGTAAAAATACAAACAACATGACTTTACAATCATAGCAAGGTATACCACGAGCTACAGAGTCGTTTTTATCAGAACAGTTTCAGAACTTTCTTCTTTTTTTTTGTTCAAATAAAAAAAAAATTCTTCTCCATGTCCCCTAGGGGGCTCCGTAGTATTCTAATTGGATTAGGTAATCAGGATACAAAAAAAGGTTCCATAACCACAAACCTTCCCAAAGCTGAACCTTGTGTTTGAGCATATAACTATAATGATAGTTTACTTACCATAACCTCTTAAACATTAACCATACTGTAGTGGAAATTTGAAAATAATAATGGACGTAATAAACAAACAGACAAACAATTGAACATAATACACAAAAAAAGATATACACAAAAAACTTTGACTTTAATTAAATGTATTATTTCAACCGATTTCACATAACTGTATTAGCTTAGTTGAAAGCAATAATATTAAATTGAACCTACTATTTTGTATTTAAAGTAATATTATTGCTTTCGACTAACCTTATACAATTATGTGAAATGTGTTGACATAATACATTTAATTAAAGTCGTAATTTTTTTCAGTTTACTTATCACAGTTGTGAACATATCTTCCAACGTATACGTAATATATCTTGAGTGAAACTCTTCTTTGAATAAAATATTATTATACATAAAATATAAATAATACAAATACAATCACATCCTGGAACCTTTAACATGATGGTAAAAATATTTGTTTTGTTGTATTCAGTCACTGAGTAATTACCTTTTTCACCCTAGTTGGATGTGATTTGAAGTTGAGCACTACCTCCTTCTTGTGACTGACTGTCCGGCCCCTCAGTGCTGCTCATGGCGGGGGGGCAGTAGACTGTCCTGAACCTGCTGCCCTCACTCACACACAGCTTTCTCTGGGATCTTCCTACGCTGTCCATCGAGCAATAAAAAACCTGTAACCAAATCCAGGGCCTAATCCAGCTGGTACAATCGCTGGCAGAGCTTCACCTCCACAGATCTGAATCCTTGCAGACTGTCTCTGCGCAGCTCTGCGCGGGAGGATTCATCAGAAGAGATGATCAGATTCAGGGTCGCTGGAAGAAAGACAGAAATTCAGTAATGTCAGGTTTACAGGGAACCAAAGCCGATGGATGGTGTCAGTAATCTACAGTGATTGTGCATCAAACTTAACCTTCTTAATGATAAGTTAAAGGGGCCCTATCATGCTTTTTAGGGGTTCCTCTTTCCTGTAGTGTATTATAGGTTTGTGTGCATGTAAATGGTCTGCAAAAGTAGAAGTATTTGTTATGCATATGGCCCATTCATAATAATATAGTAAATTACTCTAACATGATTATTGATGTGTTATTGTGTTTATTACAGTTGGTAGAACAGCACTACTGTAGTTGAAATTGCTTTGCTGATGATAGTTGTGGATATGTGTCAGTTTATTTAATCATTGATTGATAATTGATTGATAACTATCCTACAGCCAGTGGTAGAAGAAGTATTCAAAATGACTAACATACTTAATTTCAAGTAAAAGTCCTGCATTCAAATTGTTAGTAAAAGTACAAAAGTATTATTAGCAACATGTATTTAAAATATCAAAAGCTAAAGTAATCATTGTGCAGATAAATTGCGTTTATGTGTGTATGATTATATTTATATATGTGACATTTCTAGATAATATTGTTGCATCAAGGAGCATTATACTAGACAATAAAGTTCTGACTGACTTTTTGTAAAATGCTTAAATAATTTGACTCTTTTGTGACTTAAAGAGTTAGTCCACTAATTACATTTTTAGAGATGCATTTTGTTAAGTAAAGCTGTTGTATAAATGTAGTGGAGTACAGTTACATTAATTGCCTTTTAAATGCAGTGGAGTTGAAAGTATGGAGTAGCATTAAAGTACCTCAGTTGTATTTGGATACAGCACTTGAGTACTGCATGTACTTAGTTACTGTCCAACTCTGCAAACAGCTTAATCAGCCAGTGACTAAGGCAGCATTTTCCTGCGCTTCTCAGTAACAGAGAAACCCCGCCCACTGCTCGGTGCCATACTCCAGTCCAAACGTGCCAAGAAGCAAATCATCTCGGACACATCAGAGGCATCCGAGCGCACTGAGCACAACATCCAAAAAATAAATCAAAAACATGATTGAATCCTCTACCTTTAATAAGTTTTAGTGAGTACAGCAATGTATACGTTTATCGTTATGTAACCAAACAAAGTCGTGCGTAAAGTTTACTTTTGCTTTGGAGACCATGCGCAGCTTCTCGGAGCCGTGCGTCCCAGGTGAGGAACCACACATCTTTCCAACCAGACTCGGAGATTCAGCCCGCCAGGGGACCATCTTGTCCGGACCTTCGCTCTTCTCAGCCATGGCCCTAGCCTCCCGGAGCTTAACAGATCCGGGTTTGGATGCCGGCGCGGTCCCAGTGACACTCCAGTCGCAACCGGAGCAGATTCTGTGCCGGCCTCCCGGAATTCTGGAGGAAAGAGGACTGACAGAGGATGAACCGAAAGTTTATTTGGAAGCCAAAAACCTTTGGACACAGTTTCACAAATTCGGAACTGAAATGGTCATTACAAAATCTGGAAGGTACAGTACATGGGTGGGGAAAGTACTCAGGTGTGTACTTAATAAAAGTAGAAGTACCAGAGTGTAGGAATACTCTGTTACAACTTAAAGTCCTGCAATCACAAAATGACTCAAGTAAAAGTTTAAAAACATTAGCATCAAAATTAAAGTACCAAAAGTAAAAGTAGTCATTGTGCAGATTGGTCCATCTCAGAATAATATGATATGTTTTATAATGATTGATCATTAAAGTGTTCTCAAAGCTGGTAAAGGTGCAGCTAGTTTGAATGACTTTGTACATGTATACTGCAGGGTAGCTTGTGAATTTACTCCAGGTGGAACTAAAGTCAGATTTAACACTCTGATTTTCACATCATTCATCCAGATCTGAAAAGTAAAGTAAAAGTACGTTTACCTCTGAATTGTAGTGGTGTTGTAGAAATACTCAAGTTACTTGAGAACTGTACTTGAGTAAATGTCCTTAGTTACTTTACTATAATGGTGCAGTATATGGGTAATATTTCCACAGTAAGGACAGTAGTGAGTGCTGCGTCACGCCGGTGTCCCTCTCCCTGCAGGCGCATGTTCCCGCCGCTGAAGGCCCGGTGCACCGGGATGGACAGAGCAGCCAGATATGTTGTTCTGATGGACATCGTGGCGGCGGATGACTGCAGATTTAAGTTCCACAATTCCCGCTGGATGGTGGCGGGGAAGGCGGACCCGGAGATGCCCAAACGCATGTACATCCACCCGGACAGTCCGGCGACGGGCGAGCATTGGATGTCCAAAGTGGTCAACTTCCACAAACTTAAACTGACCAACAACATCTCCGACAAGCATGGATTTGTATGTGTGAATTGTGTAATGACTGAAGATAAATAATAATAATAATATGCTGTCAAAAATGTGCTGAGTTGCGCTGTACGGATGGCCTTTGTGGTGATTTCTAGGCTGTTCTCAAACATTTAAATATTCGTTCTGCTGTGATACATGAAGTAATCATTTTAAATGTAATAGCAGGTTGATCTTTTCAGTTCTTGTCTAAATCGCCATGTCCTTTTTATACCTGTTGAAAAACTGTTTTTTTTGTCTGGTTTTAACCAGAGATGGAAACATAACTGATAATTAACAAAGTAGCAGCACAGTGTAAAAATCCTCCTTTGCAAGTCAAAGTAATGCATTTGAAGTTTATGCATCAAAATATACTTTAAGTACCAAAAGTAAAAGTAGTTATTATGTATAAAGGAATATTTTAAAATTATTTTATTAAAATGATTGATGCATTAATGTGTTCATCACTTCAATACTGCTTGGTGGGGTTTATTTTAATTACTGTATAGCTTGTTGGCTAGCCTAACCTATAATGTATGATAATGTGTTGATTTATAATTTGTATTAATAACCTTGATTTGTAAAACATGTAAAATAAATGTAGTGTAGTAAAAAGTACAACAATTGCCTACAACATGTGGGTATAAGTATAAGCTTAATGTGAAAATACTCTAGTCTCTTGAGTAAATGTATTAGTTACACCACTGGTTTTAACTTGTTATTTGTATTTGCAGACCATTCTAAACTCCATGCACAAATACCAGCCGAGGTTCCACATAGTGAAGGCTCCTGACATCCAGAAGCTTCCCTACAGCACTTTCAGGACGTATGTGTTCAGTGAGACGCAGTTCATCGCAGTCACAGCCTACCAGAACGACAAGGTGCAGCTGCTGCTTTGCATGATCAGAACAGAATCACTGTATTAGTCCCACAGCGGGGAAACTTACAGCGTTACAGCAGGTAAAAAAAAAGGCATGCAATAATAAAGAATAACTTATTAAATATATTAAAATAAAGACAAAAACATCAGTGGCTGAAAATGAGGAGCAGCAACTTAAATCACTTGGTGACATACTTTAGGGAACATAATTAGGTGTTGAGACATTAAGAAAAATGTTGGGACAATTATAACAATGTATGTTTTTCACATAAAGGTGATTGCACAGTATTGCAAGAAAAGTGTCTAAATTGCACATTATAGGTTTATTGCACAAGACTGCAAAGAAGCTCTGTAAAGTGCCTGCAGTCATTTGTTTGCTCCAATCAATGTGTACAGTATTTCATTTTACATTCTCTTCTTATTTTATTTACATGAATAGACTCTTGCATTATTTGGTCACTGACAACATTCTCTGCAACATTAAGCTTATTGAATCTATTTTCTTTTTTTAACGTATATATTTCACTTCATCTGCATTACTCTCTTAATCTTGCACATTCTTATTGCTTTATAAATGTGTTTAATTGTTTGATTTCTTAAATGTAACTATGTTGCATTTCTGCAAAACTTTAGATATTCATTGCCATATGCTAGCTACTGCAGATTACAATAAAGCCTTAGAACACTGAAAAAACTGAAACGTTGACTTTAATTAAATGTATTATGTCAACAAATTTCACATAACTGTATTAGGTTAGTTGAAAGCAATAATAGTAAGTTGAACCTAATATTTTGCATTTTTAACTTAATAGTATTGCTTTCAACTAACCTAATACAGTTATGTGAAATTTGTTGACATAATACATTTAATTAAAGTCAACATTTCAGTTTCTCATTGAATCATTTAACCTTTGACTTTACAAAGAAAGCACCTTTAAACGTCTTTTTCAACTATTTATAAGAAGTGTTAACCACGTGACATCAATAATAATAATAATAGGCTTCTGCTCTCCTCTGTACCTGTTTCTCAGATAACGCAGCTGAAAATAGACAACAATCCTTTCGCTAAGGGATTCCGGGACACGGGCAATGGAAGAAGAGAAAAGAGGCAAGTTATGAATTCATTTAATAACTTTGATCTGGAGACAGCACGCATAAGCCACATTTGGTTAATGGGGTTTGTTTCTTAGTTATTGTCCAGCTTCAGGATCAGAATGCTGCCTTGGAAGACGTATTCAGAGCCACGTCGTCAAATATGCTGTTGTCATGCTAAATGTAACAAATAAAAAGTTTGTTTGTTTATATGTGTTATTATGTTATTTAAGTGCACAAAGCTGCCGTCAAAATAAAAGCATAAAACGACTTCAATCAACTAAATGAATAACTCTATAAATAAATCTACATTTATCATAAAGCAAAAAGATAAATGTTTTACTATTAAATAATATAAATCAAAAGCTTCAACAGTTATTCTATTATTATTATTATTTGTTATTATTATTATTATTATTATTATTATTATTATTATTATTATTATTATTATCATTATTATTATTATTATTATTAACCAAACGTCGCGGGCAGCACATCGGCTCCTTGCTTCTTCACAAGTGTTGCAGAAACAACTCTTTGGAGGAATAAAGCTGTAGAAACTCAAAGCTTAAAGGTGGGGTAGGTAATTTTGGAGAAACCAGCTCAAGTGCGCTAGAATTGAAAATACACAACCGGAAAAGATCTGCCCTTCCTTCAGACTTCCTTCCAGAGCCCCTCCTCCAACACACACGAACGGAGCACTGAGATCCAATGACAGGGCACGACGATCAGTTTGGCCGCAGATGGAAAGCTGACAGCAGGCGTAGGTCATCCAGTTACTTTAGCCGCCGGCTCAGAGATTGTCGTGTTTTTACAGCGCCACGGCTCTCCACCAGATGATATATTCTTAGTGTCAGTTCTATTGGAAACAGCACTTTCATATACCTTCATTTCTATCGACGACGTTACGAGGGAGCAGTCTCCATGAATACTAACCGAACAAAGTGTTTCTGAACGGAATGTACGAGACCCACCTGTAGATGGATCCGTAAAGCAGCAGCAGAGAAGCTGGTGTTCCTGCAGGGGTCTTTTGCCCCATCCTCACGTGATGCAAGCTATGGGAACGGTGAGTAGAAGAGAAGAATACACTTACACCTACGGCAGGGGTGGGGGGTGTGGTGGAGGGGGTGGGG